CACCAGGAAGTTGGATTGTGAATATTCACTTGAGAAGCATTTTATTTATTATTTGCTACTTTATTTTCAGTTTGTGTGAGTGAAAGAGAGAGAGAGAGAGAGGGGGGGAGGATAGAAAAAGGGGTGGGGGGTACTTATCAATTTTTTAGATTCTCAACCAGTTTTAACCTGTTTTTTTCGTTTTTTTATTAATTTAGTTTTTTATGATGCTTATAAAACAAAAAGAGTATGGATTAGAGTAACGGGTGAAAAGTGGAATTTTTCGCCCTCCTTTATTCTTATAAGAAATGTCTTGTTTACCACCCCCCACCCCCCCGCTACTCGAAGCTATTTTAAGTAGGAAAAATAAATTTTCTCTTTGCCATAAAATATTATATTTTAAAAGAAGAATTTAGTTATTTTAAACTTATATTACATTATATTAATTTAAAAAAAAACCTGAACCCCCAAAAAAATGGGAATTGCCCGGAACAACCCGAATATTTTTTCAAATAGTATAGTAAAAGTAGTTTCAAGAAGCAATAAGATGGGAATTGTATAAACAACTACTTACGTAAAAATAAATAATTCTACTTTAAAAGAAAAAAGAAAATTGCCCGGAAAAACCCGGATATTTTTTTCAAACAGTGAACTTAATTCCAGGGAAAATTGTAGTTTCAAAAAACAAAAAGAAGAGAATGACATAAATAACTGTTTACTTGGAAATAAATAATTCTCCGGGAAAAAAAAGAAAATTGCCCGGAAAAACCCGGATATTTTTTCAAACAGTGAACTTAATTCCAGGGAAAATTGTAGTTTCAAAAAACAAAAAGAAGAGAATGACATAAATAACTGTTTACTTGGAAATAAATAATTCTCTGAAAAAAAGAAAATTGCCCGGAAAAACCCGGATATTTTTTCAAACAGTGAACTTAATTCCAGGGAAAATTGTAGCTTAAAAAAAGAAAAAGAAGAGAATGTCATAAATAACTGTTTACTTGGAAATAAATAATTCTCTGGGAAAGAAAAAGAAAATTGCCCGGAAAACCCCGGATATTTTTTTTAAACAATGCATTTAAATCCAGAGTAAATTGTAGTTTAAATATGAAAAATTTACACGAACGAAAATGTTAATATTTTATTTTCAGAATTTTTTGTGTAAAAGACAACTTATACCCCCTATTTCCCCCCTATTCCCTATCCTTTTGCTCTGTAGATAAAAAAATAATAAAAACGGCAATAAATTTTCTCATTGCCATAAAATATTATAGTTTAAAAGAAAAATTAAGCATAAAAATAAATTATTGCTTACTAAATTTACTTTAAGCTCATATTACATTTTTAACTAAAAATAAAAAACTTAAAAAAACCTCTAAAAAAAATTTGCCCGGAAAAACCCGGATTTTTTTTTCAAAAAGTGAATTTAAATCCAGGGTAAATTGTAGTTTGAAGAAATAAAAAGAAGGGAATTGAATAAACAACTATTTAGATGAAAATAAATAATTCTACTTTGATAGAAGAAGAAAATTGCCCGGAAAAACAGGAATTATACGTAAAAGTAATTTTTATTACACTCACATTATTTGATAAAAAAGGCAAAACAATTGTTATTAAAATTTATTGGATTCGAATAAAAAAAAGGAAAAATTGCCCGAAAAAACTAAAATTACCCGAAAAGGAAAATTTTTAAATAACATAAATAGGAAAGAATTACTTGAAAGGAAATGTTAATACTTTAAAAAAATAATTCTACTTCAAAAAAGGATGTTTGCCCGGAAAACCCGAAATTCCAGAACTAGGAAATTTTTTAATAAAATACTTGTATTTTTTATCAAGAAAAAAAGGGCAAAAAAATAGTTCTCAACTATTTTTTTGTTCAAAATTGATCAAGTATTCGATCCGGATAGAAAGAAATGGGAAATTGCCCTGAAAAACACGAAATCAACGAAATTGAAATTTTGTTTAATAAAATACTTTCTTTTATATTCTTTAATTAATTAATTAATCAATTAAAAAATATAAAATCAAAAAAATTATTATTAATAATGATTCGATAAAGACAGAAGAGAAAAAATTAAAAATAGCCCAGAAAAACCCAGAACATACTGCGAAAGTAAGAAATTAAGAAAAGACAAAGGCAAAAACTAGTTATTGAAAAATTATTCGAGATTCGGATAAAAAGAAGAAGGAAAATTGCCCGGAAAACCCGAAATTACCCAAAAATGTCAATTTTTTAATGCAATACTAAATTTTTTTAACAAAATGAAAGAATAATATTTGTTTGATATGAATATAAAGAGAAAGAAAAATTGCCCGGAAAACCCGGAATTACCTGAAAAGGTAAATATTTTAATTCATTACTCACATTTTTTTACCAAAAAAAGGGGGAAAAATTGTTATTGAAAAACTATTCAAACCAGATAAAAAAAAATTGCCCGGTAGTTTCTGTTAAAATTTGATTCTCACCTGTTAAAAACAAGTTTCGCTGGGTATTTCTGGATTTTTTCCGGGCAATTTCTATTTTTCATACAAATTTCAATTAAATTTTCAAAATTAATTTTTTTTTTTTTGAAGTAGGGTTTCACTCTAATTTTATTTACTTAGATTAAATAATACATTGAATTTTTTTGTTGAATTATTATTTATATATGAATTATTTCGCGTTTAACTGTTCTAAATAGTTCATATTTTTGAAAATTTGTTTTTCCTGTGTCAAAAATAATATTTCCGGGCAAAACCATTTTTTTCGTTTCTTTTACCAATTTGTAAAATCTCACAAATTGGTGAAAGAAACGGAAAAAAAGTTTTTATCCGGAAAAATCCGGAATTGCCCAGAAATTTGATCTTTTGACTTTGGATTCTTCTGGGGTTTTCCGGACAAAAACTTTTTTCCGTTTCTTTCGAAAAAGCATGTAAAAGCTTGTAAGCTTTTACATATTAGTAAAAAAACGGAAAAACAGTTTTTGCCCGAAAAAATCCGGAAATGCCCGGAAATTTTATCTTTTGACTTTTCTGGATTTTTCCAGGCAAAAACCTTTTTCCGTTTCTTTCAAAAAAGCTTGTGAGCTTTTACAAATTTGTAAAAAAACGGAAAAAAGTTTTTGCCCGGAAAGACCCGGAAATTTTATTTTTATTCTCTTCGATGAAAAATAAATATTTCCTTTACTTTTCTATGGTTTCAAAACCCTATTTTCTCGCTTTTAACTGTTCTAAATTGTTTTTAATTCAGAGAATTCGTTTTTTCCGTGTCAAAAATAAAATTTCCGGGTAATTCCCGGTTTTTCTGGGCAAAAAACAATTTTTTCTTTTTTCTTATACCAATTTGTAAAAACTTGTGAGCTTTTAAAAATTGGTGAAAGAAACAGAAAAAAAGTTTGTGCCGAGTTAATAAACTGTTATTTCATTTTCAACTCTTCTAAATTGACCTTCTATTTCAAAATTAATTTTCTCCGTGTCAAGAATAAAATTTCCGGGTAATTTACGACTTTTCCAGGCGATTGCCTTTTTTAAAGCGTCGATTAAGTAATATATATTATTGATTCTTTCTTTTTATATACGATACTAAAAGGTCATTTTTCTAAAACTTGTTTTTCCCGTTTCAAAAGTAAAATTTCTGGGTAATTCCGAGTTTTTTGGGCAAAACCTTTTTTTTCGTTTCTTTCGCCAATTTATAAAAGCTCACAAGCTTTTACAAGTTGGTGAGAGAAACGGAAAAAAGTTTTTGTCTGAAAAAATTTGGAATTAGTCGGAAATTTTATCTTTTGACATTTCCGGGTTTTTCCGAGCAAAAACTTTTTTCCGTTTCTTTCAAAAAAGTTTGTAAATACTTGTGAGCTTTTACAAATTAGTAAAATAAAAGGAAAAAAAAATGTTTTTGCCCGGAAAAACCCGGGAATTTTATTTTTAATCTCTTCGATGAAAAATAAATAATAAATAAATATATACTTTTCTAGAGTTTCAAAACCCTATTTTCCCTTTCGCTTTTAACTGTTTTAAATTGTTTTTATTTTTGCGAAAATTCGTTTTTTCCATGTAAAGAATAAAACTTCCGGGTAATGCCGGAAAAAAATTTTTTTTTTGTTTCTTTTACCAATTTGTAAAAGTTTGTGAGCTTTTACAAATTGGTAAAAGAAACGTCAATGCTATGAAAATAGAAACAAAAAAGTTTTTGCCCGGAAAAACCCGAAAATTTTATTTTTATCCTCTTCGATGAAAAATAAATATTTCCTTTACTTTTCTATCGTTTCAAAACCCTATTTACTCCTTCGCTTTTAACTGTTCTAAATTGTTCTTATTTTTGAAAATTCGTTTTTCCCGTGTCAAAAATAAAATTTCCGGGCAATTCCGGGGAATAACTTTTTTTTCGTTTCTTTTGCCAGTTTGTAGAAGCTTGTGAGCTTTTACAAATTAGTGAAAGAAACGGTAATGCTATAGAAAGAAAGAAACGGAAGAAAATGTTTTTGCCCGGAAATTTTATTTTTATTCTTTTCGATGAAAAATAAATATTTTCTTTACTTTTCTATAGTTTGAAATCCCTATTTTCTCCTTCTTTTTTTAACTGTTCTAAACTGTTCTTATTTTTGAAAATTCGTTTTTCCCGTGTAAAAAATAGAATTTCTGGGCAATTCCGGGCAAAAACTTCGTTTCTTTTACCAATTTGTAAAAACTTGCGAACTTTGACAAATTGGTAAAAGAAACGGTATCGCTGTAAAAAGAGAAACGGAAAAAAATTTTTTGCCCGGAAAAACCCGGAATTGCCCGGAAATTTTATTTTTATTTTCTTCGATGGAAAATAAATATTTTCTTCACTTTTCTATCGTCTCAAAACCCTATTTTCTTCTTTAAACTAATTCAATTCAAAATGCTTCCAATTGAAGATCGCTAATTAATGAAAATTGATCCTATTATTTAGAACAAAACGATAATATATCATCTTATCGGAAATCTTCGTCTGTAGCACACGCTTATTATTGATATACCTTTAGGGCGCTGAGGAAAAAACGAATCTCAGTGTCTCTGTAATAAAGCGGAGTGTTGTCGATTGCCGTGTTGGTATACTATATAAACAATACTTCGTACAAAGTGAGAACAGTTTGCTTACGGCCACCGTATCTCTTTACTCGATTTTATACTGTTACAATACGTCAACACCTGTGTTTACGCGATTGAAGTTTTTTATCTTCTTCTTCTTCTTCTTCTTCTTCTTCTTTCTTCTTCCTCTCCTTCTTCTTCTTTTTCCTCTTCTTAGTCAGTTTGTTCCCAAAGGAAATCATCAAATCATTTGAAATTTAAAAAAAAATATTCAAGTGACTTTTAAAAAAATTTTTTTTTTTACCATTTTGGGATTATTTGAAAATCATCAATTGGGAGCAGTAAAAGAAAAAAAATTCTTTTCCTTTCGGAGGAAAAAAAAATGTCGCACGATAATCATGGATTTACTGCAAGTTTGGTAAGTTGACTGTTTCATTACAAAAAAAAAAAATTCTCATTTATCAACGGATCATTATGACATAAACCTTCACTAAGTTTGTAACTAGTCATTGACTGGAGGCAGCACCTACAAAATTGCATCCAATCACTTTCTACTTCTAATATTCTCCCTTGAATTAAATATATATATATATATATATATATAATTTACAGTACACACTGTACAATATAATATATTATACTATACATTTAATATATAATGTATAATATATAATATTTAATATTCGCCATACTTTGCCCTTAGTTTAAAAATATAAAAAAATAGGTAAATTTAAAAAAAAAATTTTTATTCCCATGGTTTACTAAACTTTGCCCATAGTTCAAAAAATATGAAAATTAATTTTTTTTCTTTCCATGGTTCGCCATACTTTGCCCATAGTTTGAAAATATAAAAAATACTTTTTTTCCATGGTTTACCATACTAACCTTAGTTTAAAAATAAAAAAAAATAGGATTTTTTTATTCCCATGGTTTGAAAAAAAAATTTTTTATTTATTTATTTATAAATATATTTATTATTTATTATTTATTAATTTATTAATTTATAAATTTATTAATTTATTAATTTATTAATTTATTAAATTATTAATTATTAATTTATTAAATTATTATAAATAATTTTATTATAAATGAAATGAAAAAAAATAGTTTTGCTTTTTCCCATGGTTCGACATATTTTTATCCATAATTTGAAAATATAAAAAAAATACATTTTCTTCTTTCCATGGTTTATTATATTTTGTCCACATTTCAAAATTTTGACATCAAACTTTAAAAATATAAAAAAAAAACGTTTTTCCCTCTCCCCATGCTTTGACATATTTTGCCCATAATAAAAAATGTCCAATAAAAAATATAATATAATAATTATCACCATATAATTATAATAATAATAAAATTCCTTTGAGAAAACGTAAACATAAAATAATGTAACATTTTAAACACACATATATGTTCTATCTTATCAGGATTGATAAAAAAAATATATGTAGAATAATTGATTGCAGTGATAGATCTTTCTTAATTGATCAGCATAATCAATGTATAGGAATTTTACAGATTCCTCGTCACTTTTCTTATAAGATTACAAAGAATGTGATGAGAGGATAGAGTGTCATCGAGGGAGGGTGAGAGGGGGTAGAAAGAATTTTATTTTTTAACTATTTTTTAGTTTTTCAAATTTTTTTTTTAATTTTTAGTCAAAAACATTTCTTACTTTTGAGGTTTTAAAAAAAATTTTTTTTTTTCAAAAATACTTTTTTTTATACTTTTTTGACATTTTTAATTATAATATAAAATTTTGTTATTCATTTATAATTTATTTTTACTAATTTATTATCTTTTAGTAACATTAAATTTTTCATTGTTATTTATTATTGCATTTATAAAATTTAATTTACAAAAGTTATTTATAAGTTATAAATATTCTAAATATTATTCATTATGATAATTATTTTTATTTATAACAATAATACAATTTTAATTATAATTATTATTAATTACATTTATTATTTTTAGTTGTTATAAGTAATATATCTAATATTAATAATAATATTGTAGGCAATTATTTTTATTATTGTAAGCCCGTATATTGTTTAAATAAATAAAAATAAATAAATTATAGTTTTGTTATTATAATTGTAAATCTAATTATAATCATAATTTATAATTTATAATGATTGATTAATTTATTATAATTACTGATTAAACTAATAAATAATTTACTTCAATGCTTATTAATATTAATTACAACAATTTATTCAATAATTATAAATGTAATATAATAATATAATAATATAATTTGTTAATGTTTAATTATATTATTATTGTAATAATTATAATTAGTAATTAATTATTATTTATATCTATTCTGTAATTATTATAGTTTATAATAATTTTTTAATAGTTTTTTATTTGTTAAATTAATAAATAAATAAATAGATACCGTTTACTGATGTTGTCCGTAACAAGTACTGAATAATTATTTATTAATATATTATTAATATAACTTATCATTTACTAATAATAATATTTATAATAATTATTAGTTGCCATTGCAGATAATAATTGATAAATATTTGTCTTGTTATTGAAAAACCTATTATAAATTATAAAAATTAATTATTATTTACGTTAATAGTTATAAATTTAAAGTCACAAAAACTAATTTTTTTTTATAAAAGAATATTCAATCGCAAAAAAAATATTGTTGACAACAGTCAATTTTTTGAAATGTGTTAAAATAATGCAGTTAAAAACAAGGAAATGTATATAAGAAAAACAAAAAAGAAATATATAAAAGAGATAATTTAAATTCAACTCGTAGAATAATATAATATCGTACCAGGAAAGTGAGACTAAAACAAAATTTGTCTCTACTGAACAAAGAAAAAAATAATATTATAACATCTGTAGAATCGAGACAATTATTTAGAGAAAAAATTGATGATTATTGATGAAATTAAAGTGAAATTTATTAAAAAATTAATGAAAATTTTTTAATATTTTTATATGATCAACAAATTAAAAAAAATAATTTTTGAACAATCTATTAATTTATATTAGTGTAGGAAAAATTATAAATAGATAGTAGAAAATAATAGAATTTATTGAGACTGTGATGAAAATTGAGAAAATTTGATGAAATTTGATGAAAATTGATGAAAATTAATAATAATTGATGAAAATTGATGAAAATTGATGATAATTGATGATAATTGATAAAAATTGATGATACTTGATGAAAATTGATGAAAATGATAATGACACCAATTTTTAAAGAATAAGAACAAAATGAAAAAAGAAATTAAGAAAAGCAAATTAAAATAATGATTTTGATGAAAATTGATAAAATTAAAAAACAAAATTAACGAAAAATAACAAAAAACAAAATTTTTTTTGTTGAAAAAAATGAAAGAAACGAAGAAAATTGACAGCAATGAAAAGAAAATAAGACAAATTTTATTTGTAACAAAAAGAAATCTACAAAAACAAAGAAAATAATTGTAATAATGAAGAAATTGAAAGACTATTTCATTTTAATCTCTAGTGGTTAAAAAATTATTTTACTCCTAAAGTGGATTTATTTTTTACATATATATATATATATATATAAAAATATTAAAATATTGTCGCCCTTGGGCTAAAAGTGGACATTTTATTCCCTAAAATTTAAATTCGACTATTTTCGTTTCTAAAATTAAAAAGCTTGTATTAAATACCCTTGTAGCCCATAGTGTGAAAAGTGGACATTTTATTCCCTAGTGTTTAACATGACAATTTAATTCCCTAAGATTAGAAGAGGCTATTTTATTTCCTAGAGCTAAAAGTGAAAATTTAATTGCCTAAGATTTAAATTTGACTATTTTTACTTCAAAAGTTAAAAAACAGTTTATTCCCCAGGATTATAAGGGGTTATTTTATTCCCTAGGGCTAAAAGTGATCATTTAATTCCCTAGAGTTATAAGTAACTAGTTTATTCCCTAGGGTTAGAAGAGACCATTTTATTCCCTAGAATTCAAAACAGTGGCTAATAATTATTTTTGTATTTAAATTAATTCAAATTAAAATAAAAAAAAATAAATTAAATTAAATTAAAAATAAAATAAAGAATAATAATAATAATTAATAATAATAGTAATAAATAAACAAATAAAAATTTTCAATGCAAAAAAATGTTATGCAGAAGTTTTCCTTTCAGTATAAAATTATTTCCCGAATAAAACAAAAATGTAAACACTTGAACAATTTATTTATGTTATGTGCGCCAACAACTTTTTAATAAAACGTGAATGAGAAATTTAATGAAACTTTTATAAAAAAAAAGAAATAATAATGTCATTATATTAATTTACAACTCACTTTAAATTCATTTGTAGACAATAAAATTCTTCTTTTTCTTCCCCTCAAAGTTTTATTAAACACGCGGTTTTTTTCCTAACAGATTATAAAAAAAGAGAAAAATAAAAAATCACGTCAAATATTGAATAACTTTCGTCAACCTATATTTATTTTTCGCGATTATCATCGCTTCATTGTTTTATCAATACAAAATATATATATATACGTATATAATATGGTGTATCGTCATTATTAGATAAATTATTTTAACATTATTCGAGAAGAAAAAAAAAGATGAAAGCCTCTCAAATTAATATGGGAAACAATACAAAAAATAATATTTTGTTTTGTTTAGTTAGAAAAAAAATTTTTTTTGTCTAATAAAAAGGAATGAATTAAAAGAAAATTTATTAAACAAACTAATAATAAAAAAAAATAAAAATAAAATAAAAATAATAAATAAAAAAAAATAGAAACAAAAAAATAAATAAATAAAATAATAAAATAAAAATAAAAAATAATAAAATAAAAAAAGTAAAAATGATAAAAAATACAAAACGAAATTAAATAAATTAAGGTAACAAAAAATAAATAAAAGAAGCAACAAATAAATAAAATTACAAAACAAATGAATAAAAATCACTAAAAATAACGAAAAATAAATATATAAATAATTAGAAACGACAAAAATAAATTAAAAAATAATTAAAACTAATTTTTGTAAATGAAAATAATTAGAAATAACAAAAATAAATAAAAAATAACTAATAATTATTAAGAATAAATAAAAACTACAAAAACAAATAAAAGCAACAAAAATATAATTAAAAATAACAGAAAATATATAAAAACAACAGAAAGCAGTAAAAATTATCAAAACTATATAAAAAAATAAATAATGTTTGAAAATAATAAAAAAACACAAAAAAGTAAATTAATTAAAAAAAAATAAAAATATTTAATTAAAATCAGAAACATTATTTTGACTTAAGTTGGTATAAAGTGTAATTAACAAAAAAAAAATAATTGAAATAAAAATAAAATTGTTCGCTTCCGACTTACTTTACAAACATAGACGTTATCGATGTTAATTTTACACTTTATTATTGCTCGAAAGCA